TTAGAACTGCCTATAATCTATGCACAAATAGGCTCATAGTCGGACCGCAACCCTATCAGAAAACGAACAACATCAACATCATCATGTTGTTGTTCTATCTTTGAAACATCATAAGTGATAGGCTGATACAACTTTCATTCCTCACATATTCCCATAACCCGAGAAAAGTACTCTTCCAAAGTCAAGTTATCCTGCTCAAGATTGAAATACTGTCAACACACCTTATAAATATGAGTGACATTACTAGTGCCAAAATACATGCGAGTCAGACGATCCCAAACCTACTTGGCAGTATCCAAATACAGTAAAAAAGAACTAATGTGAGGCTCAATACTAGTCAGTAAGAGGGAAATAATTTGTGCATCTATCTGTTCCCATTGGTTAAAATCAGAATCAAGGGTTGTGGGCTTAGCTTCGACAAGGTGGCTATGAAGGCCTCTACCCTTAAGAAAAATATCGACAGATCTTGCCTACAATACAGAGGTCATAGGAGCATTAAAGAAAGATGCAGTAGAAAAATTGGGTGAAGAAACAGAGATTATAGGAGTAGTACTAGGAGTGGGAGACGTACTATCTACCTTAGGATCCATGGTGGGGGGGAAATAAGGCAAGAAGAAGCTGCCACACGAGCTGCTAGGCAGAAATAGAGCCCAGGAGAAGCTGAACCGGTTGGATAGTAGCTGGAACAGTTGGAGAAGTTGTTGAACCGGACCGAAGAGGTTTGAATCTGGGAAAAAAAAGAAAAACTGGCCAGGGAAAGGTTGGGCCGGTGGGAAACAAGGCAGAACCGTTTTGAAGTGGACTGAATCGGTGGTGAAGCTTCCTGAACCGGACTGGAGGACACCCTAAGAGCCTGAACCGAAGCCTGAATCGAACCGGTTGAAAGGACAGGAACTGAACCGGTTCAATTGAGCTGAACTGATTGGTTTAACTGGATTGGGCCTAAACGTCTAAATGGGCTGCCTGAATGGACTTGGTGGAGTTGGGCTTAATCAGATGTGGGTCTAACCCATTAGCCTTATCCAAATGAGGAATAGGAATAAGCCACAGCTGGAGTGATCCCACACTGGTAGCCAAATAGGAGTCTTCCCCTTCAAACTAACTGTGAGTAGGGCAAACAGGAACTCCACTGCCACGAGAGACACCGGAACAACGCCGGCAACAACACCCAATCAACACCGGAGCAACACAAATACCACCCCAATCAATCCAAAGCTATCGGAACAACGATCAACACAATGTGCACAACGGATCAACATCAATCAACACAAATAGCACTGGCTGTGACACCAACCCGAATCACAGCAATAACCATTAGAAGGACGTCAACTTCATCAGCAGTAGAAGAAACACAACATAATACCAGACTAAGCCATTGACAAACACACTGTCGAGCCAAAAGGTTAAATATTTTTTTTCTATATACAAGGGAGAAGAAAGGAGAGGCAAGGACAAACCCTAATACCTTTGCTATGATACCATGTAAAGATTAAGGGAGAGAGAGAGAGCTGTAAGAAAGAATCGGAAGATAGTAACCTACCTTCCCTTTCATCTCTGTGAGATATGTATCTCAATATAACTAAAGACTATTATATCCCTATTGGGATATACTTATTACATGGATGCAATTCTATAAACTCTAACACATACAAAATTATGGATGGTCTATCATAGATTCATAATTAGTTTTCATAATAGGTGGCTTTGCTTTCGCTTGATTAGTACTACCTCATGGCACACATCAGCCCTGTCTGTAATCCTAAGAATGGTGTAATCTTGGGAGGGGTAGTTGTTGCAATACCCAAACTTTCGGATTTTCTATGTCATTTTTGTAATATAGGAGTCTCTATCATTCATCAAGGATTATGGTGGGGATAGGGAAGGAGTTGGATGAATGTTGACATTGAAGCTCAGAATTTAGAAATTCGTTTAAAAATTATTATTTTTTTTTAGTTTGAATTTGTGGGATTTTATATCTTATTTTAGGAATCTATCACCAAATAGATTAGAAATAAAAGGGTGTGTTTAGTAATTTTTTTGTTTTTTCTGTGCACTTAACCAAAATCCAAATAAAAAAAATTATGCACAACATGGGATAACATTACAACCACAACATGAACATCAAAATAGTAACCCATCTATTGTCTTGCAATCCTGTATGAGCTTGGTGAATGACATTGTGGCCATCTCTTGGTAGGTTCTATTTTCAACTCATATTAAACACCCTACATGCTCAAGTCCTTAACGGCATCGATAGAATGATTGTCGTTATATTCTCCTTTGCAACCTTGCCTCATTAAACCAATAAAAATGGATTCAAGCTATGGCCCATCACCCATGAATTTGGGTAATATTGGCACCTTCCATTTACAAAAATAACAAAAACAAACGCAAAAGAAATCAAAGTGTGTCATAGTAGAATTGATAATTCATTGTTTATATGAGGAATATTTTTTGTCACAACAAAAACTGGTCTGGAATGCAAGGGAAAAATTGCAAATCCATTGGCCAATCTTGCAACCGAATTAGCTCGCACATGAATGATCAAGTTTGAAATTCCAGACCCAATGCCCAAACAGCCAACCTCTCTAGACCAACTGCCTTTTGCTCAGACTTTCCAGATAAAAACACACGTGTATAACCGATTAATGGTCTTTATGTAGATCAATATTTTTCAGGTCCATTCAATTGATCTATTCTTTAATTCAAGTGACATGTTAGGACTACGTACAAACAATCATAGATTGAAAAATAGCTATCTACTATGATTATAACAAGTATTGGTTTTATTTGGACTTAGTTTAATTGATGGATTGTGATATTTTTCTCTTTGCTTCTTTCTTAATTTCAAACCCTTCTTAATTCTTCGTAATTCTTAACCTTCTCTTCTTCTTCCCTAAATCCCCTTCTTCATCTACATCAATTGGGAATGATGGGGATGTGGAAGGATTTGGATGACTTTTCGAATTGAAGCTCAAATTTTAGAAATTGGTTTTAATAATATGTTCTTATTTTGAAGTAATGAGATTTTGTTTCATATTTTGTGATTTATCTCTTATTTGGTGATAAAGTTAGATTAGAAACGTATGTTTTAAGGTTTTTCGTTCCCTTTATAGTGATTGATGTATTGGTTTCATTTACACTTAGACTTTCGTTGCTCGAATTATATGACATTGGCTCTTCTCCAATTCTTTTTCTTAACTCAATCTCTTCTTCTTTTTCTTGTTTTGAAATTAGAGCTATCTTGATCTACAACACATTGTTTTTCATACAACACATAAACCTAGGAAATCCTAATCATTGTAATCCTCTCTGAATCTTCACACAACTAGTTAAGGGTAATTTCTATTGTAACATACAAATTTAATGAATGTCTAGTGTGGTTTAATTTACATGGACACCGGAGCTGCTTTGCTCTAGCTTAATAGTATAGACTATTTTATTCTCATGATTATCTTATTCTCGTCTAAATAACAGTTTTTTTTAGAAGGGTATTTTATCTGCTTTTATATATTTTTGTTGTTGATAGCATTGAGATCAAGAAATAGCTGGTTTATCTATACAAGTCAAAAATAATATAAACATGGTTATCTTAAATTCAAGGTCTAAGTTGTAAAATTAAGGAGTGCTTATGAGTGGGTGTAATTTGGATTGTGTTAATCACCGAAAATAAAATCAGAAACTTGACGGTTGGTTCTCAATAATTTACTAAACTTGTAATGATCAACATCTCCACCACATGATACCTAATTTAAGGTGGTATGATCTTAGAGACGTTTCCATGAGCTTGAATTGGACAAGGTAGATCAAAGAGGGCTGATTTTGCTTCTTTATTTAATTTTTTTTTTCCAAGAAGGGTTTATTTTAAATGAAAATCTAAGCTCTTCACATCAGTCTTGTTTAAGCGTTTTAACTCAAAATGAACTATAATGAGTAGCAAAGGCCATAAGGCTGCTCGAATATGCCCCCTGAAAAGCCTGTGGAGATTCCAACACACAAGTAAATCCTTACAGGTATATTGAGCTGCGTTGCTTGTGTACTAGCCTAGCTAAAAAAACGATTTACTAATTTTATGTTTATGACACTTCTAATGGCCCCTTATAAACCCTTGTACACTAATAGCAGTATATAAATGATATTATTTTGTCCCATTCAATCTGTATGTCTTTGCTTTATTTTTACTGCAAGGCAGGTGGCTAGGTTGTCTGAACTTCTTGCCTTTTTAAAACCTTCCACGCAAATATTTTAATGTGTTTTGCAGTCAATTGCATATATTGGGAGAAAAGATTTCCTCAGTTATTGAGTATCAAGCAGCTGCAAAATCTGATGAAGAAAGGATGTCCACTTGTTGGAATTTCTGATTTAACATGTGATATTGGGGGGTCAATAGAGATTGTTAACCACAGTACTTCAATTGATTCACCTTTCTTCAGGTACTGTACTGATGATTAGTGTCATTCTTCATTTACACCATATTATAGATTGTGTACGTGTTGTAACTTCCTTGGTAGCGAATGTATGAGCTGATCTGTTTGATTTTATTGAATGTCAAGAAAGTATAACAATATTGCACAAAGGGTGGCAGCTACCTTATTTTCTGGTTCCCTTTACAGAAATTAGGTAGTCAGCCCTCCCTCCACCTGGCAATCAGTGATTTGTCATAGTCAGATGTATTTCTTCACAGAGATCGCAAAAATTAGTAGAATAAAACTAATTTTGGGAGATCAAAAACAATGACCTAATGTTGGTCACACTGTTGGTAAGGGTGGCCACAGACTGATCTATCTTTTCATTTGCATGAAATGGCTTCCTTATAAGTTATCCTGTGGGCAATCAATAAGCTTATTAATTTTCTCCATTTGCAAGCTATAAAATGTTTCTGATTGATGTTGGTTTTTTGCTTATTCCTTCCATTAGTGTTTAATTTTGTTGACCCGTTATTGTTCGTCTTCTAGCATTTATTTGGGTTTTCTTTTATTTGTCTTGACAACTTGCTAAAAATGGCTTCTAGATACGATCCCGCTGATAATTCATATCATAATGATATGGAGGGTAATGGTGTAATATGTTCAGTTGTTGACATTCTCCCAACCGAGTTCGCGAAAGAGGTAGTAAACTCTTCCTTGCACTCAATGTATTCAAATTTTTATTTCTATGCATTAAAAAATCTTTAGATATGTCAATGCTTGAAAATATCTACTCTACTTTCTAGTTTCTTCTGACATGTCATTTGCCCGTGGAAAAAAGGCATCCCAACATTTTGGAGATATTCTATTGCAATTTATTGGAAGCCTAGTTTCCATGAAAGACATTGAAGAATTACCAGCAAATTTAAGACGGGGTTGTATATCTTATAGAGGAGTGCTCACTTCCTTGTATGATTATATTCCTCAAATGCGAAACTCAGATCTAGAGTAAGTGATATGATCTCTCTTTCCTCTGGATTTTTATGAAGTTATTGTTTGGCTTGGTGAAGTGATAGAGGGAGGAGTATTTAAGCTTTTGATCTTATGAGCAAGATCCATAACTGGAATTCTTTTGAGTTGTGTTTGCTAGCCTAGACTAGAGGTTTATCTTTTTATTTGCTTTGATTTTTTAGTCAGCCATTCTAACTGTGAAGTCTTAAAGTGGACATCCTAGCATATCATTGATACTACATTTAACATCTAAAGTACTATCAAAACTCCATGAAGAATAGAATGAATGAGACATCATAATACTCAAACTTGGCCTGCAAAACTTAAGTAGGAACTTCCCCAAGGTGTTGTTATTGGAAATAGTTTTAGTTGTGTTGTTGATTAGCATCAATTATGGACAAGAAGGTGTGATTTTCTAGTTTACTTGGTTGCTTTTCCTGGCAAGATATATTTCATACCAGGGAGGCACTAGGCGGTTAGTCAGAAAATTATAATTTCAGTTGGAGGTGGATGAAATTAGTTGTCCAAATCAATGAGGATCCACGTCAGAATTATTTGTTGTCTGCATTGGCAAACCGTGGAGCTAATGTTTGTTGTTCAAGCATTTTTGTCCACACTCATCTGTAGTGTTTTACTTATTTCATTGCCATTTTCTGATTGTGTACTTTCTGTACAAGTTTCCAATTTATATAATGTTTTGTTGAGTTTTTTTTTGGTTATATTTTTTGGTTTGCTTTAACCAAAATTTAATGCTTCCTCAAATTGCATTTTGTTGTTTTTTATGGCTAATTCAACATGCTTAAGTTAGTGAACGTGAATTGATCTTTCTTGATTTTGCAGATATCTATCAGAAAATCTTGTGGATTCCAACTCTAATAAGAAGAAATACACTATATTGGTATGTTAATCCCACATGCATGCTATGGTTTAGATCCCCCATATTACTGGAACAGTTAATGCCTATACCATAATATTGTTGATTCCACCTGTAATTCAAATTATATTTGTTATCGGCCTGTCATATTTTTCTTTTTATTTCAGTTCTTACTTGCCTCCTGTTTGACATTACAGATATTACTTGAACCTGACAGGTATCTCTGAGTGGTCATTTGTTTGATCAATTTCTGATAAACGAGGTGTTGGATGTTGTCGAAGCTGAAGGTGGCTCCTTTCACATGGTTAAATGTGAAGTTGGTCAAAGTAAAAATGATGTGTCTTACTCAACACTTGAAGTAAGTCTCTACCTCTTGCCAAGTTTGGTTGTTAAAGTGATGGAAATAGGAGAAGCAGCAGTACAGTTTTATAGATATTATAGTGCTAAAAATCTCAGAACAACAAAAAAATACTACCTTCCACTGAGAAATAACCATTAGAAGCAGAATCTGGACTGAAAAGAAGCAGAATCTGCAGCCTTTTGCTAGCCTTATGCGCATCCAACAGTGACAAAGGGACTGGTATGCACCGGGTGTTGAATCCTCAAAGTCCTAGCCTCCAACTCTTGAAAACCCTGGCTGGTTTGGAGCTAAGCTCTCTGTGGAAATTCTCCACTCAAAAGGCTCAGAAAGTGTTGGGAAAGTGACTGACCACTCCAACCATGTAACCTTCTGTCGCCAACCACCCCAAAAGACCAGAAAAGCCCTCACTTAGGTACAGGCAGGCCAATCTAGGATCAAAATCTGAATGAAAAGCATACCCTTAGCCCAAGCTACTAAGTAGACATTACTTTTATATAAAGATATGCACACCATTTGCATCATTCTCCCCCTGTTAGAAAGAACTCGCCTCCGTTGCAAGTTGCCATTTTTGCCGCTTAATAGATCTCATGATAAATATTTAGAAACTTAGCTTTACTTGTCCATGAATTCTCAAAATCAGGCTTTCCGACCCAGTTGACAAGAAATCGAAAGTAGGCACCAGCTCTGGTCTTGATTTCCAGCACTTGAATCATACTTTCAACCTGGGTTTTCTGTTTAGTGGAAGTCTGGTTCCATGTTTCATTTGCAACACTTTTTCAACCTTCAAATCACTATGAAAACTATAGATATTCACATTAAAGATAGGTGATATTCCTAGACCATGAGGAAGCTCAATGTCATATGCATTTTACCAAATTTACACAAAATCTTACAAGGGTCAACCTTTTTGCTCTTAAGCTTGTGATAAGTACTGATAAAAAAAGCTTGTGATAAGTACAACCTGAAAATCTTTTTTTTCGAAGGAAAATCATGACTCAAATCCCAAACATTGTACTCTTTAAACCTCCGATGACGATCAACTGCCTCTTTGTATCACTGGTCAAGATTGTCAAAACGTGTATCAGAAGGCGTATCATTTTTTAAAAATAGTGTATCGTGTATTGTAACGTAAGATAAATGCAATTTTATAAAGGATATTAAAAAATACATATACCTATAACAAAAATGATATAATAATATTTCATTGCACCATAATTTTTTCACATGAAATAATTTAAAGAGGTTACATGACCAAAACAAAAAATTAACAATCTAAGTATTGAAGTTTCTAACATAAATCAATATCAAAATTTAGAGAGTTTTAGTTCTAACATCTAAAGTAAGCCGAAAAGACACTTTTAACAATCGAACTATTTGCTCTTATGATAGAACAAATAAAAAAAAGAATTTTATTTTTTAAAATTGTAGATGGTGGAACAACGTTATTTCATTACCTAATGGGTGAAAAAATTACTTTGAAGTGAAAAGACGTCGTTTTCTGATTAAAATGCAATGAATTTTTTTTTTGATCTGTTTTGCTCCGTATCAAATGACTCGTATGTATCATGTTGTATCGGGTGTATCATATTGTGTATCACACGATTCGGTGCAAATTGATACACTTAAATGATACATATTATTTTCTTCATGTATCGAAATGTATCATATGTATCATACGATGCTAATAACTATGGCACTGGTTCATATCCATTACCCTCTTCTTGAATCTCCTTCAGATTGCTGCATACATCACTAGCTTCGGCTGAATTGATGCATCCAGAAGGTCAACAACCTGATTTGGATTCCTTCCATATACTATTTGAAAAAGACTTCCCAGTAGACCTATCCATGGTGTTGTTAAAAGAAAATTCAGCAGATCAAATCCCCCTATCTGATATTGTCACTTTCAAGGCATTGCAACAGATTTCCCAAGTTTCTATTCACTATTCCTGTTTGACCATCTATTTGGGGATGATATGCACTGCTATACTAAAATTTAGTTGCCATTAATTTCCACAAAGTGAAACTTTGTATCCTGATCGGATGAAATAGTCTTTGACACACCATGTAGTCTAACCACTTCCCAAAAGAAAAGACTAGTCACATTAGTTGCATCCAACATCTTTATTACAGGAAATAAAATGTGCCATCTTCAAGAAATGAGCAATGGCAACCAAAACTGAATCAACTCTCCTTGCCGTCCACGGTAAACCCAACTCAAAATCCATGTTAACCTCAACCCATGGAGCTGTGGGAGTTGGTAAAGGAGTGTATAAACCTACGGTTTGTTGCTGCCCTTTAGACATTTGACATGTACAACATTTATTTTCTCATTGGCTTCAACACTTACCACTTTCACAAAGAAAGAATGTGTTCAAAATGCCATCATGCAATGTGCATCGATCATATTGGAATGTCCAAGCAGGATATGACATTCATCCATGGGTGTGCCCACACACAATATACTGAATCTTTAAAAGACCCAACGGAAAAATCAAAAAGATATCTTGACGAAAAATTACCTCATTCCCTTTGTTGAACCAAATAATGTGATACGATTATGGATGATTTCGGCTTTGAGCTTTGATTTGTCTACCATCTCTTGTGCAATTAGATTATCACTGCTGCCACTATCAATAACAAGGTTGCAAAGTTTTCCTCATGCTATACAACATGTTCTAGATAAGTTCTTGCGCAACCAATCATCCTTGTCATTGGAAGGTGGTGCAAGCATTGAATGCTGCATTATGTTTGACCAATTACATCACCTTAATTCTTTCTTCCCCTACATCAGTTCACAAGCTTCTAGCTGCTGGTTTGCATCTTCAATATTGGCAAAATTTTCCTCAAATCCCACACCATGATCATCAACAAGGTCAACCCGAGCCTCAGCCCTTTTGGACACTCATTAGACTTTTGCCCAATTTCAAAACATCGGAAACTCTTAACTGTCACTTAGACTTGAGTATTCTGCCTTCTTTGGACTGCCTTTCCAGTACTAGTGTTTGCTTGTTGGTGAGGACAAATGGGCGCTGTTGTCCGTCCAGAGAATTCGCCCGACTACTTGATGCACCACTACTGTCATCATTCTCAAAGCCTCTAAGGCAAACCATGAGTGTGTTGGCCTTTAACTTTCAGTTGATAAGTGTAACAGGAAAAAATGGGTTTACCTCACGAAAATATCTTTTTTGAATTTGGACTCGAATTTCGCTGACTACTCCTTCCAAACCAAGCAAATTGCCCAGGATTGAAGTGCTTTGATCGAGGCATTACGATGCTTAAGTCAGTAACTGAAGAACAAATAGGAATGCAGAAAGGACTCAACGTACCTCCACTGTACTCTGCTCATTCCTTTTTATAACGACTCTTCCAGCTAAGATTTTGGTAACAGATGCTGTAAGGTGGCACACCTTGCTTCGGTTCAGGGCTTCAGTTAGGAAGCTAGCAAAAATCTCTCCAGACATCGTCCTATTGATTAATTCCTTCTGTGCTGATAATTATGCTCAACAGTTGTATCAATCCTGTGATTAATTGTAGTTATACGTTCAAGGTGATATCTTTTTAAATGTTCAGCTCGATTCTGCCGAGGCCGAACATGTAGAGCTCGGCTCTGCCAATGTCGAGCTCCACGTTGCTGAATTGGTGTTAGTTCGGCAATTTGCTTTGCTTATTGACTCATTGTTTCCTCATTTGTTTTGATAACATCATTGTCACGTGGGCCTATTTAATGCTCATCATATGTGTCACAATTTCTGATGCCCCTTCAATAAGCATCACTTACCTTATAAGGTGGTTACAAGCTCAGTTGGCCTTGTATGGCCAATGGGAGACCATTCATGTATCGACTAACCTTTTGATTTTCAGTTTCAGCTATATTACACCTTAATGTCAAGCCTGTGAAACTCTTGGCTATACTCTTTCACTTTATTTTCACATTGCCTTAGGTTTTTTACCCCTTGGTATAAAGTTTGATCATAATCATGAGGCAAGAATTGAGCTTTTAGCTTCCTTTCATTTTGTTCCATCTTCTAACCTTTCCTTTTCCCCTTACTTCTCGATCATTTTGATGGTGTTTCTACCATGTTTAATGTTAGAAATATAACAACTTAGTTTATTAGGGTTTATTAAGTTTTCCCTTTTTCTTTTTTTTATTCTTATTTTAACTTTCATTGGCTATATATACGAGAGCTCTACACTTAATTTGTATCCCTTTTGACTCATTATTGATTTTGGAGCTACCTTTGCCCCCGTGGCGCAATTGACTACTATTCGACTAATTATTTCTCTGACTGCAGAGTATTCTTGACCTCTTCATCAGTTGGATGTGAAGAATGCATTTCTTCATGGTGATCTGAATGAGATTATTTATATGGATGTACCACCAGGCTTTCATGGTGAGGGGGAGTATGTTGGAAAAGTATGTCGTAAGTCTCTTTATGAACTGAAACAATCACCACGAGCTTGATTTTCTCGCTTTAGTGATGTAGTTGTACGTTTAGGGTTCACCAGATGTCATTCTGATCATACTTGCTTCATTCGACAGAATACTTCTAGACAGTGTATCATCCTTTTTGTATATGTTGATGATATTATTATTACTGGAGATGATATTTTTGGGACTGCGCAGGTCAAGGTAGACCTTGGGAAGGCCTTCGATGTGAAAGATTTTGAATTTTTGCAATACTTTCTTGAGATTGAGGTTGCTTGTAGCAGCAGGGGTATTGTTCCTACTCAGAGAAAGTATGTTATGGATCTTCTTTTAGACATTGGGATGCTGGGGTACAAACCAGCATTATCAACCATGTTTCCAAACCTGAAGCTTACTGCTGAAGGTGAGGAGTTGAGAAATCCGACTGTCTATCAGGAGTTGGTCGGTATACTTATCTACCTACACAATACTAGGCCAGACATTTCATTTGCTGTCAGCCTCATTTTGATGCAATTTATCATATTCTTCGGTACCTCAAGTCTTGGTTTGGACTTGGGTTGTTCTATGCATCAGGATCCCAGATTGGTTCTCTAGCCTATCATTCAGATTCAGATTATGAGGGAGCATGTGATGGTTGATCTACTACGGGCTTCTGTGCTTTTCGAGAGACTCATCTTATCTCTTAGAAGAGCAAGAAGCAGTCAATTGTCTCTCGCTCGTCAACAAAGACAGAGTATCGGGCACCGACACTTGACACATGTGAGATTATTTGGCTACGATCGATTCTTGGCGAGTTGGGATTTTTAGTGACTTCTTCATTTACATTATGTTGTGATAACCGATCTGCTATTTAGCTCGTTTTTGACTCTGTATTACACGAGAGGACGAAACATATAGAGATCGATGTTCACTTTCTTCGGAAGAAGTTTAGCAGTGGTATTGTCACTCCATCGTTTGTGGGGACCAGTGATCAGGTTGCAGAT